GCACAATTTTGTTTATTGCCCCTTCCAACGCAGTCTTAACTTTGACAGACGCCATCATTTTTTCATATGCAATACGATTCTCATCTTTGGTGATCATTCGCATCATTCTGTGGAGAGAGCTTGCCATACCTTTACCCGTGTCAAAGTGATGGTTTGCTTCTACTCGCATTGTCGGGAAACTGTATCCATTATTCTGCAAAATGTGGTCTCCAAAATTGTAAGGAAAGACGAATAAATTTACTGTAACATCATGTATGTATGTACCATGAGAACATATATTTTTGATTTGTATTTTTGTCGCCGGAATAAGTTATAAATACCACTTCGTTGTTTTGTTAAATAATAAGTGTTTCTCTGCTTTAACCTTAAAGTTCCGCTGACACGATCAACGGATATCACACTCGAAGACGAACTAGTACATTTAAATGTGGTTTGGCAGTTGGAATCAGGAGATTTGATTCTTCCAAGAGGACCAAGTGACACATCTTTTGTGGCTAAGTAGGTATAAACGATTTTTTTGCCTAAAATAAAGAATATAATCTGGATTAAACAAATTAACATATTTATGAAGAAAACATATAGATTTCGAGGTCAGCGTCCGAACTTATAATAACTAATTTTAGTAATTACGTCAGACTGCTTATAGTGACGCTTACGTAAAGCCTGGTTTTCATATGACGCCGACAGTCGGCGAGTACCATTGTCGGTGATTATACGTATACTCATGAGTCAAATCTTTTGTGTATCTGAACTCATTTTCTCCTTCAATGACTACCGACAATGAGTCGGCGGCTGGTCGGCGTCATATGGAAACCAGGCGCTTAAGCTTGCGAATCATAACTTGTAACTATTTTTAAACAAATAACTCGTTCGGACATCGTTGTTGGTTGTATTTAGTCGTTGTTGGTTACGTTATTTTATGTTAGAATTGCATGCTGTTCGCTAAAGTTGCTGTTAAAACGTTGTTTCAACGAACGGCTGTAAAGCGTTAAAGTGCCCCTAATCCCCCAATATCAAATCTTGACATCGTTTCCAGTATTTCGGGATTTCGTCAAATCCTCCGATTTTTATGGCAGTTTAAAGTTGGTAAAAAGGCACTTTTTGATGGACCACTTTCGCGGCTAAGAGGAGTCTGGAACGAGTATAACTCAGTACTGCCGTCTTCGAACATTCTTTCTTCTTGATTTTCAGAAACATTCGTTTATGCCAGGCAAATATAAATAATTAAAACAAGACGTTCTATATTGCGTTTAGTCGCTTGGTTTATTAAAATAGAGGCCTATTCTGTGATAGTAAAGTCCTGCCAAAATTTGAAAATAGATGCAAGTAATAACTCTTTTTTATAATTAAATCTTATGTGTAAATGGTCTGTAATTCGTTGATTTACGAACTAGTCATTATGACATAAAGAGGAACTTTATAGCCAAATTATAACTTTCCATACCCGTCAATTATGCGGCCTAAAATCTAAATATCAAAGGCCTCACGACGGCTGTCTTCTACGACAGCATGCATGCAAGCAGAAGTAAGCCCAATTTGTTCAGTGAGTTAAAATTTGGTTTCTGCAGTGCCGTCGGAAACAAATTGTTATGGGGGTGGGGGCTACAAAATATCGGACAAATAGAAAAAAATTTCCGTCATGGTATTTCCAAGTTTCGTGTCGACGGGGGCTGGCGGGAGCGGGAGGTTTTTGCAATTGGGGCAAGCATCCAACGAACGGAATAAAAACTGTATACCTGCTACATAAGGTACAAAGATCACTTGATTTGCATGTATTAATTGTTGTATGGAAAACAAGACTATATTTTCAACTGCAGTGCCAGCAGACAGAAAATACTTGCATGGACATTGCCATTGCCATGCATTACTAGTACGGGAAAATATCCAACCGAGGACTTGCTGTATTGACCAGTGGTAGCGAGGTCAATTCAGCAAGACCGAGGTTGGATATTTTTCCGTACTGCCCGAACGGTTGAGATCAGTAAGGTTTTTTCTGATATGGCATTGTACGTTTGTAAAAAATGGGAAAAAAGGTCACGCGAGGGCCAAGTACAAAGTCCGACACATTTGAAAAAAAAAATTGTAAAACTTTTTCTCTTGGTTATGATAATCCTATGATAATCCAGAAACTTTGGCTCCTCTTTACGTCCGACCATAATGTAATTAAATGGAATTCCGGATGGTTCATCATAGAAAAAGGGAACAAGGTTAAAGTTAAGGTGAGACCGATCAGTTTCGTAATATTCCACTATATAAACCTTGAAAGAATTGGCTAAATGAAATCATCGCACACGTTGTCGCTGTTTTGTTAAATTGACATATTGTTGCCAGAACTTTGGAGTGACAACTTTTGTTTGTGTTAAAGCTTTAATCTTAACATATTACAGAGTGTACAATAACATAATTAACATAACACTTGCAGAACTATAGTATTGTTCGATGCTGAATTAATATAAACGAGTATGTTTATGACATTCAGTATATATTTCATAATTTCCAATCTTAAATCCGTCTGACCGTGTAGCTCAGTTGGTAGAGCGTCGATCTAGTAATTCGAAGGTCGCAGGTTCAAGACCCAGCCGCGGCAGACAACATCTTTCTGCTTGCGCTGGGTATGGAAATTATATAATACACACTCATCTTAGTACATTAGATCTTCCGTTTACAGATTATCAACTATGATCAACACTCAACATGTTGTAACCTGTGGTCTTTGTGCTTTTGCAAAAAGAGTTATCTATAAATTTAAGATGCCAGGTGCTTTTGTAGCATCTGTATAAATTATAGAATAATTAATTTAAGAAGTCCCCCAGGTTGTAAAACAGATGATTAGATGTTCAAAGATACACAGTGTAAAGCACGAAAAACAAATGGGAGATACCCACTGCAACAGACTTTCAACAAATATATATGGCCTTGTTCACTTCATTTCTTACTTTCGACACAAGTAATTATAACTACAAACACAATGTATTGTTTAATATTTAAAGACGATATCGAGGGCGCATTCACATTGCCAGTTAAAGAGTTAATATTAACAACATTAAAAACAGGCTAGGGTGTCAAAGGCTAGGTGGATGCTTCTTTGCCTGCAACATAGCATAAAGTGGGACTGCCACATTTATTTTATTAATTGACAACAATTATTTTATTAAAATATTGATTATTTTAACAATTATTTTATTAATAACAATTATTTTATTAAAATACTGATAGATTTCAGCAATGAAATAAAATAATTGTTATTAATAAAATAATTGTCAAAATAATCAATATTTTAATAAAATAATTGTTAGAATCTTGTTTTTAACATGTTAATATTATTAAGTGTATGAAAATATGAAAAGTTGAAATATGTTGTGCTATAGCAGACACTTTATGTAGTGATTATGCATATAGTACATCAGGGTTTTCAGTTTTGTGTGAGGCTCTGGCTAATGGCGATGAAGCTATGGCGGAAGGGAAAAGCCTAACAATCATTCCTGCACATGGATTACATATTTAACATGGATTATATATATATATATATATATATATATATATATATATATATATATATATATATATATATTTCTAAAATTCATGAATAATTCATGAGCTAATTAGCCAATGAATTTCTTAAAATCTCGTCACATGATGACCCCTATATACCGTGATATAGATCGGTGTGTGCTGATTTAAAATTCATATATAGACTACATGTACCTTTATGATAAAGGTACATGTACCTTTATAAAGCATTCTTTAACAAAATGTTTATTAATCTGTTCCTAATAAAAACTCAAATATTCGAGAAATCAATAAATACTTTATCAGTTTCCAAAGTTAAAGGTAATGTTACAATTTTTAAACACGGGATTAACAACCATTTCGTTTTTTATTACACACCACTTTAAACTCTTTAAACCCAACAAACTTGCTTAACTAAAATGCTAAAGACGCTTCATTCATCTCCGCCAGCGATGTAGTTAATGTCTGGTTTGGGCCAATATCATCAGTTTCATGACCTCGGCATCGTCGATCTTCACTTCTTTAACCTTTCTAGCAGCTCTCCAGGAATCAGAAATCGTCAAAGCCCACTTTGTCGCGTATCTTGTACTTGGCGGCATCGATCTTTCGAGCAACGTTTGCTCCTCTTCAGCAGTTCGAGCGCTTGGAAACCGACTCATTAACAAAACAAGTCAAATATGTTCAAATTTCCATTTGAAAACTCCGTTTAATTTTTAACGACTTGTATGACTTGATAATTAATCCAGTATTAATTTGCTTGCTGATCAATGAAGGGAAGAATCGTAAAACAATAGAACTATTGTAGTTAGCATTTCTTATTATTTCATTGGGACCCAAAACAAAAGGTGAATTTTAGAAGTCATTTATAAACCTCGTGATTGGGCTTTATCGGTGCCTAAAGCCGCTCGCCTTCGGCTCGCGTCTATATGCACCGATAAAGCCCTCTCACTCGGTTTATAAATAGTACATATATATATATATATATATATATATATATATATATATATATATATATATATATATATATATATATATATATATATATATATAAACGTAAAAGCTCTGGTGAATTTGGGTTGGGTTGAATGAAAAAGTCTGGCGAAATTCGCCGTTCGCCGGCCTAAACTGAAAACCCTGGTACATGAAATGGACATTAGATGAGTCGAGATGGCCTAGTTAGCCAGGCTTATCTTCAGTGTCTTGCATTGGTTAGCCAAGATCCTGACTCATATAATAACAATTTCTATTCTGGCAAGGCAGGCTAGCCTGGCTCATGTGAACAGGGCCTAAGATGATACATCTTAACATCATGTAGTAGGCATGGGAATATCATACTGGCAGATAATTGACTGAAAGCCTTTCCCATTATTGTGTATTTCTACCATTTAGTATTAGCACTTGTTTCTGACTTTCTGTTTATAGTGTATCTTGAAAAGCCGATGATGTATATATTAGTGTGAAATTGTTTGAAATGTATATAATGAATGATTAGGGACCACCGGTCATTAATAATGGGAGGGGGCCAGTGGCATAACAGAGGAAGAGGGGGCCCTTAGGTATATTTGGTGTGGGGGCCCCTGTTGACTGTTATTGTTTGACTGAGATCTTACATGTATATTTATATTGAATATTTATCAGTAGAATGGAAAATTCTGTGTCTATAACAATGATAATAACAGTCTCCAACATATGTAACAACTTTTAAGAATAACGTTTGTTCTATTTGAGATGGAATACCATCATCAATGGAGGGTTTATTATTTAGCATTATTAATTTTGTATTTTGCCATTGATTCGTAACCTGCATTTTTTTACGTTTTCAGTCTAATTTACTGGGTGATAGGCTGTGGTTGATGGGGGCCCCTAACTGTCGGGGGCTCTTAGTTTTTGAACCAACCCTACCTAGTGAGTGTTACGCAACTTAGGGGGCCTGGGTGAGAAAAGGAGGGGGCAGCTTCAACTATTTTTGCCTGAATTGGGGGTGGCCTCAAAAAATGTGAAAAGGGGCGACCCCAAATTTTTAATACTTGCCTTTATCGTATCCCACAAAATATTTCACCTTTTTTAGTTCCTATAATGGGGTGAATAGGTCTTCGGTTCGTCGGATTTCACAGAAAAAATTGTTCGGATTTCGGATCTGGCAAATATTTTACATGGATTTGCGGATCTTATTAATACAGCGGATTGCGGATTTATCTAATATTTTGGCTCGGACTGTGGATTTAGCTTGCAATTTAGTTTGGATCCTGGATTGTGACTTCATAGTAGAGCTTTCTTGGATTCAAATTTAGACAACACCATTGTTGGATTGCGGATTTTGCTTCAAATTTTGGCGGATCGGCGGATTTGTATACCCCTATTCACCCCCTCCCCCCCTATAATCGTAGTTTCGATAGTTTATTACGTACTTGCATTTCACGATAGGAGTCAGAGTAAATAACAACCATTCTGAATACTGGTCCTCTTATTATTTAGGCTACACAATGTCTTACACCAGTACATGTCCCATTACCTTTTTACACCAACTAAGTAACAAATTAAATGTTGGAGGGGGTCCTAATTTTCTAAATGAAGGTGGGAGCATCTTTATAATAAAGGTCTTGCGATTGGGGTGGCTCTAAAAAATGTTCAATATTTGGTATCTATGACCCACCGCCCCCCTCCTCCCATTATTGAGTGGTCCCTTTTGAAAGGTTTTTATCCAGTAAGATTTACTATATAATTCTAAAGCACATGCATCTTTCGACCTTTATAAAGACATACTATGAGTGTAGTACTGCAGTAAATCGATAAAGTTTTATGTATGCATAATAATAATTTGGATCTTTCATAAATATTCAATATTGCACACACGGTATTCGTATGAATATTTATAACTAGTGTCGAGAAAGACAACCTTTAGTAATATATTTATTGTAAACCGCTCGATAAACATACATTTTGTGAAAAACTAACTTCAACACAGTGTGACCAGGTTTAGTACATTTTATAACCAGATCCGGTTGGATGCCTTTAGACAACCCCACCTGCTTTAAACAACTGCAACATTAAGAACAGGAGGGGGCAGCCAACCAATTTTAAGCAGCTTTAGTAAAAAAATTTGCATATATGGTCACACTGCTTCAACAACGTGCCTAAAACGTTCATCTGAGTCCACTGTCTGACCGCTGGCACTATTGACGAATACTTAATGTAATGAACAACATACTAATATACTCTAAATGTTCCTAATTCACGACATCCTCCGGCGGGCCACGAAGTGTTTCAGTCCAAGCCGAGATCTTTTGCGACGCTTTCTTCGCAGCCTCACGTACCGGTCTTTTTGGAATTTCGGATACAATTTCCTTGGGATCACCAACTTCTCGTTCAACTGGGCTGTCGACTAGTTCTAGCGGGTAGAGCTTTGTAATTGGTCGATTGGTCTTTCCCTTGCTGGTGCGTAGATTTACAGCACGTACCAGACCATCTTTTCCTCGTATCAGGCTTTCGATGACTGCCATTCTCCATCTCGGTTTGTCGCTGTGTATTAAAACCACGTCTCCTACTCGAACTGATTGATCGTTGTTTCCTGTACTCTTATGAAATTCTCGGAGCGAGGTTAGGTATTCTTTTCTCCATCGTGATTCAAAATGCTTCAACCGTAATGCTTGCGATTTTGCTCTTCTTCTGACTTCAGAATCGTCCATGAAATCTGGATCTTCGACCTCGTTGTCGTCTACGTCTGGATAGGGTAATGATGCCAACATAGGTAAGCGGTCGATCGTTGAGTACTGCTTCGATTTCTGTGACTAGCGTTTGAAGGGCGATAAGACTGATTCGTGCTCGACCGAGTACTTTCTTGATGACTGTCTTCGTCATACCGATCAGCCGTTCCCAAAAACCTCCGTACCAAGGTGCTCTCTTAGGTATGAATTCCCACTCGATTCCACGGTCGCTGAACGCTTTCTTCAGTGATGGCAATTGAAATAGCTGCTTGAGTTCATCAGCTGCCGAGAGGTAGGTTGACGCGTTGTCTGATATCATCCGCTTTGGAAGTGACTTCCGGCTAGCGAAGCGACGGAATGCTTGGATGAAGGTTTCTTCTGTTAAGTCGGTGACGATTTCCAGATGTATTGCTCTTGATGTCGCACAGGTGAAAAGACAGATGTATACCTTTGTCTCTGATCCATCAGTCTCATTAACAAACAGTGCGCCAGTGAAATCAACTCCGGTTACCTTGAACGGCACGACTTCATGTAGACGCGACTTCGGCAACGGTGCAGGATCGGGAGCGGAATATGAAGTTCCCACGACCTTACGGCAGTTGACACAACAACGGAGTACTTTCTTCACAGACTGACGGGCTGTTGGTATCCAGAACTTCTGACGTAGTGCGGTAACGGTGGAATTTATACCTGCGTGTAACTGATTTTGGTGGGCGTCTTGAATGACCAATTCTGTAAAGGGATGTTTGGCAGGAAGGAGATAAGGGAATTTGGTCAATTCGCTGAGGGGGCGTTGTGGATCCGCCCACCACAGCGAAGAAGACCACTTGCGTCAAGGAAGAGGCGTAGCTGACGGACAAGTGGTAGGCGATTGTCACGCTTGGTTCGTAGGTTGGCGATTTCTTTACCGTAGGTGAGCGCTTGTATATTCTGAATCCACTGGCATTCTGCTTCTTGCAATTCTTGGGTGGTAAGGGGGCCAGATTGGGGCGGATATCGTTGGGTGTAGATGTTGACAAACCATAGGATATAGGCAGTGCAACGGATGAGCTTGGATAACTTGGTCTCTCTTGATACGTCGATGATATGATGTAGACCAGGTTGGTAGCTTGGTGGGATACGCCCAGCATCGGTATTTGGAAGAGTGATGGTTACAAGTGTCTGCGTTGACATCAAGGTTGATTCTTTAGCGGTCCACGATGGCCACTGACTTTCGGCTGTTAGCCAGGGTGGGCCATGCAACCAGATCGTTGAGGATCGAAGTTGATTTGAAGTGATTCCTCGGGTTAGCAGATCGGCTGGGTTGTCTGATGTGGGACAGTAGTGCCAGGAAGAGGCAGGATAAAGTAGCTTGATCTCTTTCACACGATTCGCTACGAATTGTGGTAGTGACTTCTTACTGGATAACCAATGAAGAACAATTTGACTGTCGGACCACAAATGAATGCTCAAGTTGGGGAATCTTTTCTGCAGGGTGTTTTGAATGAAGTGAGTCAATCTTGCACCGATTAAAGCAGCCATGAGTTCCAGTTGAGGGAGTGTTCGTGTCTTGAGAGGGGCAACACGAGTTTTTGCCATAACAAACGAGGTGTGGTTTTCTCGTTGCAGGAATGCTACTGCACCATACGCAACTGTGCTGGCATCGCAGAACACGTGTAAATGGATGTTGCCTTCTTGTTTCACTGAATCGGAAAAGTATTGTCTTGGCAGGGTTGCACACTCCTTGACCGACTCTTCGATATCTTCAGCGATGCTTGACCATGTTCGCTGGAGGCCTTCATCAACAGGTGTGTCCTAGGGGAGTTTTCTACGCCACAGATCTTGCAATAGAATTCGGGCTCTCACTGTCACAGGTGATAGGAGGCCAAGCGGATCATAAACCTTTGAGGATAGTTGCAGGATCTTGCGTTTCGTTGTTGGTGCGTTTGGGTTGAAACTACCACTGTTCTCTACTAAGGTAAGCTTGTCAGTCGTGGGTTTCCATTGAAGACCAAGAATGTTGACACTCTCGGATTTCTCGTCGGTAGAGTCATCTGCTGCGCGTGCTTGGAGCAATGGACTGTTGCTCGACCAAGAACGTAAGTTAAAGTTTCCTTGACTCATGATAGATCTTGCCTCATCGTAGTAATTGATAGCCTCAGCTTCAGTATCACATCCAGAGATCAGGTTATCAACATAAAGATTCTCCTTCATATCTTGGGTAACAGTGGTGTTGTGGTTGTCTAGATGGTAGTGCAAGGTGGCATTAAGCATGAATGGGGAACTGACAGAACCAAATAGGACAACTTTGAAGCGGTATGTGATGAATGGACTTTCAGGATCACTGGGATTGGATAACCAGAGGAAACGAGTAAAATCTCGATCCTGTTCGTTGAGGCGTACGTGAAGAAAGGCTTTCTCTATATCAGTAGAAAGGGCATAAGGGTGTGTGCGAAAACGTAGAAGGATGGAACACATATCAGTCAATAGTGGAGGTCCAGTCTGCAGGCAATCGTTCAGGCTTGGGGCGTTGGTCGACTGTCGGCAGCTACAATCGTAGACAATTCTTACTGGTGTTGTGGAGGAGTCCTTGACGACAGGGTGGTGTGGTATATAATGCAGGTTTCGACCATTTTGTTGCGGTTGAACTTGCTCGATGAACCCGCGTTTCTCTTGATCTGCGATTATCTCTCCATAGGTGTTGAGGAGATCAGGTGTTTGGGCTAGGCGACGAGCCAACGATCTTGTTCGACGTTCACATACCTTGTAATTTGAGGGAAGGGGAAGATGGTCTTTCTTCCAGGGAAACGCAGCAGTGTAAGCACCTCCTTATCACGTGTTATAGATGTACTTTGATACTCTTGTGCCTGGTTTGCATGCTCATCGTTGAGGGTAGGGGGTGCAATTCCTAGTGACTCGACTGTCCAGAACCGTTGAAGGTCAAACTCTTCTTCATTGTGGCTAATCATCACATTCAGGATTCGAGTTGAGGGCATGAATGGTGTGTTTGAATTAATTGGACCCGAGAGTAGATATCCCAACTTCGATTTTACTGCTACTGGTCCATCACCTCTCACAGTCTCATCTTGCACGATTTGCCAATAGTAGTCGACACCAATGAGAAGGGAGATCTCAAACCTGTCATCAGAAGAGACTGGGTGGGCTAGTTTAAGACCTTTGAGGTATTTCAAATTGGGCACAATAGATGGTAAATGGTTTTGAATTGGTGTGGCTATGTCGGGGACCACTAAGACATCCAAGGATAACGTCTCTTCAGAATCTGTGATGAGGTGGATGGTGACAACGTCGAGTTGTCGTACTGCTGGGGTAGCTGCACCGAAAGCTGATAGATGAATGGTTTCTTTTCTTGTTGGTTCTAAGTGGAGTTTGTTGACCAGATCTTGTTGTATGAAGGATCGCTGTGCACCTTCGTCGAATAGAATGTTCGCTTCTGCCTTGAATTTTGGACTACTTACTGTGGCAATTGCCGTCTTTAACAAACAAGTTGAACCACAACCCAAATTAGTGTTAGTTGAGTTGATGGAGGTTGGGGTGATAGGAGTGACCGTGGCATGAACTGATGGTTCCTTTGACTGGTCAGCGGTTGCACGATTCTGTTTCAGGTCTGCATCATTTGGTTTCGCATTGCTCAGACTTGTGTGATGCTTTCGTTTACAGGCTTGGCAACGGTGCAATGACTTGCATAGTGCTACCCGATGGCGTCCCAGGCAATGAAAGCAGTGATTTTCTTTCTTTACAGTCTCATGACGTTTTGGAGGGTCAGTGATAACTTTGCATGATGTGGGATGATGTTTTCCATTGCAATAGAGGCAGGATACATCCCCTTCGGCACGGGCTGGAGATCGCGGAAATTTGTGGGGAGGAGATGGGCGAAGGAAGTGTGATTGGGTGTGGAATGATGACGTAACAGTAGAGTTTAATTGTTGGTTATCTCTAGCATGCGAATTAACAAACTGTCCGCCTCTAAAATTCTTAGTTCCTTTTGAATGGCACTTCGCAATTGATCAATTGTCCAGTCTAATGTTTCATGCTCTCGCGCTAAATTCTTTCGAAACTCGTTAGGTAATTTTCCCAGTATAATGGGTACTAAAAGATCACCATATGTATCTTGACTTTTGCCAATTGAGGCAAGTCCTCGAATATGCGTTTCTAAAGTGTCATAAAACCCTTGAAAACTGTCCAGTTGCTCGGTTGGGGCCGGGATTTACAATAAGGCTTGCATGTGCGCATTAACAATTTTATGCGGCTGTCCAAATCTTGCCTTGAGGAGGTTAACAGCTTGCTCATAGGTGTTGTTAGTCAGGGGAAATCCTGTTATAGCTTGTAAGGCGTCTCCCCTAAGTTGGGCTTTCAAATAGTTAAAACGTTGTACGCCATTGAGAGAGGAGTTGCTGTGTACGGCACTGTCGAATGAGTCCCAAAAGGACTGCCATTGAAGGGGGTTTCCAGAGAATACTGGAAGACTCAGTTTTGGGAGTCAACAAGTATTTTGCGACAGATGACTAGTGACTGTTAGTTGTGGGCTAGAGGGAACTACGTTGATAGGTGAGGGATTACTTGGACTTTGGGGAGTAAATGGTGACGCATTTGGATTAACTGTTGTTGGTGGGGACATGTGAGGATTATCTTGCATGTGTTCTTGCGAGTTTTCTTGTGATGCGACTTGTTGAGGGTGTTCATACATGGGTTCTTGCGAGGGTTCTTGTGTTGTGTTTTCTTGCAGGGTTTCTTGCGTTGTGTTTTGTGGCGGGTTTGAACTTGCTGTGGCGAGGGGACTTAATTCTTGGGTATGACTTGATAAAGAAGATATTTCAATGTACTTACGTATTTGGCTGATGTTCTCTTCTAAGTCGTAATTTATCTCGTCGGATTCAAATATTTCAGCTTCGAGTTCCTTAGGATCTTTTATTTCTGCGGCAATCTTCGCGTCTAGTTCCCCTATAATGTCCTTTTTCTTCGTTAATTGTTCGAGTGCTGTATTCAAACTCGCTAGCGCTATATTTCTGTCTGTATGCGTCTCAGTGTTTAGAACTTCGTTTGCCTTCTTTAAAACCTTTGTTACGTGTGCTTTGTGTCCCCTTCGTGAGACCTGTAGTCGAGAGATTTCTTCCATGTTCGAATTTAGCTGGTCACGGCACCAAATAATGTCGAGAAAGACAACCTTTAGTAATATATTTATTGTAAACCGCTCGATAAACATACATTTTGTGAAAAACTAACTTCAACAATGTGCCTAAAACGTTCATCTGAGTCCACTGTCCGACCGCTGGCGCTATTGACGAATACTTAATGTAATGAACAATATACTAATCTACTCTAAATGTTCCTAATTCACGACAACTAGACAAATTTACTGACTGAAATTAGTTCACTTACATCTCCGACCACTACTTGTTTTTATTTTGTACTCTTCAAATTAATTCTCAAGCATTTCTGCTTGTGAAGCGCAAACAAGCACCCGGTCACTATCGCTATACTGACCTATACTCTTCGATGTAAGCCATATTGCTTTGGTTTCGCGCGTTTTTTCCAATTTCGCGCACTAATTTATTTGAATTTTAAAGATGGAATACCGCTGACTTGTATGTATTGCTGTTTCAGATTTGTACGTATCTTGTCTATGATCTAGTGCCGACCTTTTAGTCAAGCCCTCTTTTCCCTATAGCAGCTTTAATAGCTCTTTCAATATTTGCCATTGAACAGTGGCGGCGTCAGGCCTCAGAATTTGGGGGGCATTTGAGGGGCAAACTCATATTTTTTTTGGCGGGGGGAGGGCAAGATAGAATTTTTAAAAAGGTACTGCTATTTGCCCATGCCGTTGTCACAGGACTTTCCCCCCCCCCCTCCCCCAGGAGATTCGCCCCCTCTCAAAAGGGGCCGATATTCCTAGGAATACCGCCCCCGGGGGACGAATATCCCAGGAATATCGCCACCCCCAGAGGGGCGAATGCCTCAGGAATATCCCCCCCCCTTTAGGATATTCGCCCCCCATATATGCGATGTGGTTTATTCAAATAATTTCGTGATACTTTCATCTTATTAGTGCCTTAAGGCCCATACAGACCGGACGCTATTTGGCAACGCGACGCGAATTTCCAGTTTTCAATGACATTTAACTTTAATATTTTTCATTGTTTTTCAAATATTCGGGACCACTTAGCAATTTCAGCTATTTGGTCTGCATACCTTGTAAAATTTTTATCCGTTGACAGTTTTATTTGTCAGTTGAAAACTGAAAATTCGCGTCGCGTTGCCGAGTCGCGTCCGGTCTGTGTGGGCCTTTACACGTTTGAGAATTTAACTTTGCAAAACTAAAGCTTTTTTGTCTTTTTTGAAACGTATTATTGGAGTATTGGCAAGTTTTACCATTCAGAGATTTACAAACTAATATTGAAACTGTAAAAGACAGTTTCATTTATACGGCGCATTCACTCAGTTAATGACAACTTATAAGCCATACATTTTCCGATAACGACAAAACGCTTGTGTAGCCTTTAGTCGCTCTCAGTGACTAATAAATTTTTTTGAGCGGGGGGGGCGCAAAATGGGGGGAATAATTTCCCCCCCCCTTGACCCCCTGGCGCCGCCACTGGAGATCTTTTTTTCTTTGATATATGTCTGTAAGAAAACCTCTAACCCAACGAAATATTTCATATGATATGTCTAGACTGTGACGTTTTTGGAGAAGAATACACGGGTCACTGGTCAATTAAGTCAAAAGCTTTAGTATGATATAGC